AAATGTGTTTAGGCCCAGCTAGAAGTAAACAAAAGAATGGGACAAAAACGAGCAAACAAGCTTGAAAAAATTGAGTCGAATGTCTGTTTTATTTTTAGCCACGGCCAGCAAGAAATATGGGAAGCTGCCCAAAAAAGGCCACAAAACTAGCTGCAAGACTGAACAAGAGAGAAAAAGACGGTCGGGGTTCTGCATGCAGACAGAATGCAGTCAACGCCAACGCAAACGCACATGAAACATATGAGAGACAGGCAACTGCAGCAACTAGACACAAGTGCTGCGCAGTTTACCAGTTCCCTGCAGCTCATCAGCTCCTGTCTATCAAAGTCCACAGATACACACGCACACACAGAGAGAGGCACAGCAGGCGCACATCATTTGCATGTGGGCAGTGGGTCAGCATTAGCAGCGCTTCGAAAGTTGTTTCTATCAATAGCTAAAAGTCTGTTCATCATTTGTTTTTTTTTCTTTTCTGTCTCTTAAGCTCTTTCACTGTTCTCTAATCTTAACTCTTCATTTGTTCTTTATGCAAGCGAGCTCTTAACAGTTCTTTTATCTTAATTCAAAGTCTTTTCTTGTGTTCTTTCACTGCGCTTAATCACAGCTGATTTTCATGCGGCTCATCCATTGGGGTATATTGGTATAAAGGTAAAGCTAAGCTATGCATATGTTTACTAGGCATCTTTTAGTCAGTCAGCATGGACTTTCTTTAACTTCTTCTATCTGTCCCTCTCCCTCTCTTTGTCGTATCGTTTTACCATGCAGCACACACTCGCACACTCACACACTAACTGAGCTCTCACTCATGATTTTCTAGATGGCCAACGATTTAACTCTGAATAGCATCATAAACAGCCATGCAGCTTCCCTTTCACTTTGTCTACTTGAATTATCCATCAACCTTTCTTTCGCCCTGATCAACTGCAACGTTTCGTATCGTTTCGTTGCGCCATTTGTTTTAGTTTTTCTCTCTTTCTTTCTTTTTTTTTCATTTTAACTTCATTGGAATCTTCATCAAGCCGCATTACAAAGAAATACAAATCGATTTTACCCAGTTCTGTTTTTGTTTCTTCATAGATTTTAACATGCAGCGCATTTGCTTTTATGACTTTTCTTGTCGTTATTGTTCCCTTCTACAATGGATGTGCTCCGTAGCCATAAAACTTGAAAATGTACTAGATATTTGGACTGTTCCCCTATGTGGACATTGCTGCCCCACCCAGTTCAGTTCAAGGCAACGTCATCATTTAGGCAGCGTCATCGCGTTCCGTTGGCTGTTAGTGTTGCGTGCAACATGCCTGTTGTTCTAGTTGTTGTCATAAAAACGCTGGCGCTTTATGACTTACTTTGAAAATACAACCTCAACTTTTGCCATTGCCAACTTGGTGCGGAAATAGACTTAATGATCAATTAGTTTTGGCCGTTGACGTTGGGGCAGTCACCTGGGGAGTGGGACGCGATACCGTTAGCTTCCGACTGGGCGCGGCATTCGGGAGGGCAAGCAGAACAGCCCGAAACCGGCCCTCTAAGAAATCTAATGAGCAACTTTGGCGCGCTGCAATTAACTAAACTCTAATTGGAGACGCTGCCTGGGCATAAAGTGTGTATTTTAAGGCCATTACCGATGGCTTCCTGTCGCAGTTGCTTACATAAGACATTGCCAATGCCTGGGATGATGCATCCAGAAGTTGCCGTATGATTGCGCAAGTCGCAGCAGCAGCAGCAGCAGCAGCAGCAGCAACAGCAACAGCAGCTGCTTTAATTGGAAATTGTTGCGGGGCTAGGTAAAAGCGCATCAGCAGCAGTTGCTGCTGTTGCATCACATACAACCAAACACATTTACACACAGCATCGTCAAGTGTTCTAGTTACGTGGCTGCTGTCGTTGCTTTCAATCTTTTGGCGCGTTGCTGGCAATTGCATCACGCAAAGGCGACGTTGTTGATGGAGCCAACGGGTTTTTGTCCACAGATTCAGCTTCAGCATCGAATTGGGCTTCGTCTTCAGCTTCAGCTACAGCTTCAGCTTGGACTTCGTTTTCAGCTTCAGCTACGACTTCTGCTGCCGCTTCAATTTTAGCTTTAACTTTGGCTTCGGCTTTGGCTACTTTCTAAAGCAGCCTCCGCCTGGCTGCCTGCATGGCATCTACCCAACTCGACATCTTCGCATCTCGGTTCACTTGGTTAGTGTGCAGTGTCTTTTAGTTGTTCTTCTTATGGTTGTTGTTGTTGTTGTTGTTTTTTGTGTTTTTGTTTAGCGCCCAGGTAACTGTTTCAACTGCTGCGAAACTGGTGCAAGCATTGCTGCTGCTTCCTCTTCTTAGCCTGTTGTTCTCTCGGCTGTCGTTTTTTTTTCTATTTTGCTGCTGCTGTTTTTACTGCTGCAAGTTTGCAGTTAGTTTTACTGTTGCAGTGGCCACTGATTTTCTACTCGTTGCTCTTGTTGTTGTTGTTGTTTCTATGTATGACAATAGTGTTTTTTTTGTTGGCTGCTGCTGTTGCGTCAAATTGGAAATTAACGTGCAACTAGGCTAGGACCTGAACAACTTTGGTCCTTTGTTCTTAAAGTTTTTACCCTCTCTTTTTTGCAGAAATTAATTAAGTGCCCTGGCTGCGGATTTATAGAGCTTGTAGCCAAAGTTGTTGTGCTGTTAGTTAGTTGTTAGTTGTTGCTGTTGTTGCTTAGAGGCCAGCTTCTGTGTCACACGAGATTTGTTCTTGCTTTTTGCGTTCGGGTAATAAAAAGTTAAGCAATTTTTATGAATTTGCAACAACCATAAAATTAGATCGTAAACTTTGTTTTGTTGTTGTTTTTTTATTTTTTATTTTCGCACAAAATATGCTTACAATATTTGCCCAGTCAAAGTTGCTAATTAAGGAAACGGATGCGAGTGCTTAAAACAAAGACTTTTAATAGCCCTTTGGCAAAGTTTAATATGAAAGTTATGAAAGAATAAATTGATTTTATATTTAAATTTAATTTTAACTATTTTTCATAAATATGCGAAAGTTGTGGAAGCCAACGTAAGCTCGTAACGGAAATGAAAAGAAAAAAAGAACTATTAAAATGTTGAATAAAAAAAACTAATAAACAATATTTTAACTTTTTGACAAATAGTTTATTTGAATCACTTGGAGCACTGACAATTATATTAATAATAATAAATAAATGTCAAGCATATTCAATAGCTGAAAGAGCCATAAATCAAATTGATTTTCTGAACTTGGACTTTTTAGATTGATAACTTCGAAATGCGTCTGAACTTTGTGGCAATATCAGTTGGCTGGCTGCGACAGACTTATCGGGCGACACTGTGTAAACAAACAGCTCAAACGTTTTGGCGCAATTTAATTGTCAAGCTGAGGGCAATCCTTTAGGCCGCCCCCGCTGACAGCTGTTTGATGGATGCGGAAGCCCAAATGCCGAAAGCCGAAAGCCAAAAGCCGCGACAGCTTACCCGATTAGACGGTTATGCTTGACGGTTGTTAAGCGGAGTCGGAGTGGGAGTCGTTGCGTCTTTATCAGCAATCTGTCAGTGTGGCAACAAAGCGGCAACATCATCATCAGCAACAGCGGTCGCGGCAGTTGCGGCAGCATCAAAGAGGTTGCCTCGCCCTCAATTCTCCAAGTCCCCTTCCATTTGGTGCGTTCGTGGTTTGTGCCTGACGTTGAATTTACAAATTACAACTAATTAAAAGTTGATGAGTCTGCGTGAGTGAAATCAAGCACAGAGCATTGCCCCGCAGCCCGCTCACTGAGCCCATTCGATAAGCAAATGAGGAAGTTGCTGCTGCTGCTGCTGGTCAGAAAATTCTGTGGAAAATGTTATGCCCAAGCACTTGTATTTTTATAACATTTATTTCTTTTACGTGGTTTTTTTCTTCTTATTTTTCACTTGCGCAAGTCATCGCAAAGCTGTCGTCTCCGCACGTCTGCGATGTTTATCTCAAAGATGGTCGAAGGTATCTGCAGATGAGGGACAGACACATCCGCCCAGCGAAATAGTTGTGAGAGGAAATGTTCCAGCAGCGATAAATGTGACAAAGTTGCACTATAAAAATGCAAAATAAATGTAAAAAAAACCCTAAACATGCTATGGGTGTATTCATAAAGTTTTTGCTCAACTGTTTGTGTGGGAATGGCAAATAAAATTATTACGACAACTGCGATGACGACGACCGTCTCGACGGCCAATTGACTTGTTTGCCACGGCCCACAGAACTTTGTGGCAGCAACAAAAAAAAAAAAACAAAAAAAGCACAAGCAAAATTTGTTAGCAGCTGGCTAAATACCCTGGGAACAATTTTTGCTAGCGAAGCCAACATTTTGTTCATATAATAATAAACAACAAAAAACACCTTGTTATATAATTTATACTGCATGAATTTGTTAGCCTCTGCATAAAAACCATCTGTCAGAAAATTGATCACAATTATTGCTGTTGTTGCTGCTGCTGCTGCGGCAACCTTGACAGTTGCTGCTTCTTAATTAAATAATGTCAACCTGTCCGCGCTGCTGTTGTTGGCATTGTTTGTCAAGATTTGCTCTCAACTGCAATTTGATGAGGCTGCTCGTATTGCGGTCTACGGCTACGAATGTTGCATGTGCGGCAGGAAGTGCTAAAACTATTAGTGGCACTTATTTATTCATTAGAGGCAGTTAGAGACACCCAGCACAAACACTAATGGGGCACACACGCACACACACATGGTAACTCCAATTATGCAGTTAGCTGATGATGAGAGCGGGGCTAAGGATACGCGACAGCATCAGGATGTTGCCTCTGCCTCTGCCACTGCCACTGCAACTGCTGCTTATGTATTTGCATAATGTCGAATGACGTTGCAAGCAACTGAAGCGCTCATAATGGTGGCAGAAACGAGTACCCCTATGGCTGGGTGTGTGCGTATGTGCATTTCAAGTCAATGCACCCGCCGCTTTATAAGTTTGAACTTAAAGCAAAGGTTCAACGTGCGTATACGTCATGTGGCAAATGCTTACCTTACAGTTAAATATGTCTTTGTTTTTTCTTGTTTTTTTTTTATGATGATATTCACAGATCGTATACAAATCAAGACCAAAATATGACGATGGTATGGCTTATAAGCACTGCCAGCTGCTTGGTGCTGGCTGAAGCTTTCTTGCTGTTGCTTTCGGTTGGGTTTGCGTTTGGTTAACTCTGCGCCGCATGGGACCGATTTCTGCAGAACAAACGCGACTTACACACACACACATACACATACACCCGCACACACTTCGGCACAATAATAAAAGCGTAAATGCTTATTTATTTGCAAGTCGTTCACAAAAATGCGCTTGTATAATTTATGAAGGCGAAGCACACGACGACGCTGGCTCTGAGCTGCGTACTGGGGACGAACTCGATAAACATTTTGAAATGCGAATTGAACTTGTTTTATATTCGTATTTATATACATACATATATATTATATAAAGATATATATATATATATAGACTTGTGTTCGTTGTGTTTTTGGGCCCTTGTTGACTGGAGGGTTATTAGAATAAAGCGCCTGCAGGGACCGCTATAAAACGCAGGGTCACAGTGACCGAAAGCGAAAGCGTCACAACGCGATGGCAATAACAACAAATTGAATAGCACACAAAAAATTTGATTACACACCGGGTTTTATTTCGTTGGTATTTTGATTGGAGTTTTAGATTTGAATTGTCAACGTTTAAAGAGCAAAGCCTCTGAGTGAACTCAAATGGACGAAACGCGCGCTTCGTCGACTGCACTGACCGAGTCCGAGTCGACAACTGGGCTTAGTTCAGTTGAGTTCATCAATCAAAGCGACAAAGCCGAATGCAATTGCCGAGAAAAGCGCTTCAATTGCAACCAAACGATCGAACCACACCGAAAACGAAACCGAAACCGAATCAAACACCGAAACCGAATTCGATACGAACGAAAGAGTCGCGCGACTGCTTCCCGAATTAGCCAATCGTTAGATGCGCTCCAAGCATGCGTTCGGCACGACGTTTCAACAGCAACTGCTTAGGCCGGGCGCTTCGAGCTGCAGCCGTCAGCTCTATGTGGAACGCATTTGTGGACTGTGGATGCTATTGACGTCGAGTTTTTGGCGCCAGCTTTGTAGAGTTTCACAGTGCCGGCTATTCATTGAGAGCGTGGAGAGCGAATAAAAGGCAAAAGGAATGAAAGCAAGTAGCACGTGCAGCCAAAAGCCGGTCTCCCGTTTATCAGTATTCATTTCATGAATAGTCTATGAAATAATTAAATCTTATTATATTACTCAACAATTTTTGTAAATTTTATTAAAAAATTCTAAATACATTTATGCACTATTTCTGCGAATTTGTGTTAGATACTTAACAAAATAAAGGCGTCTGTGCTTTAATTAATATTAATTTAATTAATTTCAAGAATTTTTTAAAACTTCTCAGGTATTTTGTTGCTTTTGGGCAACTTCTTTCAAAATGCATTGCACATGTTACGAACATGTCGAGCAAAACAAACTGCAAAAGTGTGTAGACTTTGAGAGCGCATGCGCATGCGCCAAGAGCGTCCCAGCTATTGAGAGAGAAAAAGAGACCACGACAGAGCCGGCAATGGCAACGACCATAAAAATAAACACATTGCATAGCCACATGAAAAAGACACCACCAAAAGCAAAAGAAACAGCAGCAGCAATCACCTAGGCTAGAGCTAAGGCGTGGGTGAGGGGGAAGCTGGATGCGTACGGTAGCAATAGCATCTGCTTTATATCAGAGGCATTGCTAAGTAACTGATGCCTTAAGATCCCTAATTGTCTTAAGTGTGCTGCTAGCTGTCTATCTGTTTAAGGGGGAGTTAGATCGTAGGGGAAGATCTGTACGAATCTAAAAATTCCCAAGCACAGTTGATGCCTAGTGATGCCGGGCATTTGAGTAGCAGCAAACAGAATTAGAGAATTTTCAATATAATTTGCTATGATTGCGGATCAGAAGACGCCACAAAAGCCCGAAACGCCTTGGAATGCCCAAATGGCTTAAAATAGGCTGGAAACTTTGCGTGCCGTTTGCAGCGGCCCACTATCGAGCATTGGTCATCGTCTAGCGCACACACACACGCGCACACACACACTGTCAGTGAGGGAAAGGAATTCAGCTAGAAATTTATCTACGCTAATTTCAGAGCTAAACTTGTGTAATAAAACCGCATCATCGACCGCAATTTTCGCTGTTCGCGTGCCGTTGCCAATGTTGTGAATGCAGCTTCCAGCGCATCTACCAGCTCTGCGGACCACTATTCTTTCTCTTCTGTTTTTTTTCTTCTGTTTTTGAGTCTCTAGCCGCAGTCTTGCACTTTGGCAGTCTTCGCATGAACGCCTCCAATTTCTCATAGAACTCGCATCGAGGGGGAGCCTGGCGTTTGGTTTATGGTTTATGCGCCGCCGTTTTTGGTCTATTAAAATGATTGCAGTATTTACGTTGCGCTTTTCAACCATAATTTGTATTTGCTATGCTCATCATCATCATCATTGAGTGTCCAGCCGATCGATTTTTGGTCTTTTTGCATTCAATGCGCCCGCTTACTTTGTATCGTTGCCCAGCCAGCGTCAGAGTCAGATTTGGTGTTGGAGTCGGAGTCGGAGTCGGAGTCAGAGTCTGAGGTAAGCCAAAAAGCAAGGCAGCCGCAAGCGTTTAGCTCTCAATGCTGACCCGTTCTCTATGCTTTTCTATTGTTTATCTACGACGCGCCAGGCACAAGCAGCAGACCCGATGCCAGGCCCATGTCCAAGCCCAAGCCCAGGCCCTGGCCCAGGCTCAGGCCTCGCCCCCTTTGACTGCTTCTCTCCTGCTTATGCGTTAATATTTCTGGCTTATCGCCCCGGCGTCACTTTGGCGTATTTACAATGATTATTGATCGCTTAATACGAATTGCGTTCCATTTGTTGTCTTGTGTGCAGCTCGAGACACAGTTGACGTGATATTCTGCATTGAATGGACACTGGTTTCGATTTCTATTTGTCTTTTGCACAAATATTTGACTCATGCGCTCCCATGATCAATTACAGCTCAGCTGAGCAGCCTTCAGCAGCTGACAACTCGCAGTTCGCAGCTCGCAGATAATGTCAACGGCATCGTCTCGACAGCACAATTTGTCTGCGCCATGTGAAAGTCCAATATGGTGAGCGGCAAAACTTTCAGTTTCATAAAGTCCCCGCCGCACACAGAGTCGTCTATCAAGCCGATGATTATGATATTATGATGTGCGGAGCTCATGGTATTATTCACATGCACAAATAAAAATACTTCAATCTTTGTGCGCTTTCCATGCACAAATTCATTTGTCGCTGGTTTATTTGCCTCGCATTAAGTCCCAGTGAAACCACATAAATCAACTCAAATGTGTGTGACTATGAGTTACCCTGTGCTCTTAATGAATACATTTATTATTATATAAGAAATGTCATCATATTTATGTCGCAAATCTTGTGCTATCTTTCAGTCTAGGAAGTGTTGGGTAAACTTTTGAGATAGGTCAGTTGAACAAATAAGAAAATGACGACTTAATCTACCTGTTTTACAGGGTATCTAGAGAGAGCTGTGTATCAAATTGAAACTACAAATTGCAGCATATTGAAAGAAAAAAAAAAGCGAATTCAAAGTCAAGAGCCACGCCTGCAATACGACTGGGGACAATGAACTCAAGCACAGCCCTTTCGGCTGAGCCAAAAGGCAAAGTGTAGCATTAAATAACCTGTTTAAGTTTTTGGAGTTTTTTGTCCGCACTTCCGTTTGCCGCAGAAGGCTGCTAATTTTGACAGATTACAAGGCATTGAGTGGGCCCCGGGCGACGACTTGGGTAAGCCACCAGCCGTTCGCTTTAATCAATAGCTCGATGCCCGGCGATGCTTATATTTGGTATTTTCGGCATGTAGCTGCACATTGAACTGCCATAAATTCAGTGAGCTTCAAATGTTGCTGCTGCACAGTAAGCCACAGTAGTCACCCTGCTGTTTTCAATTACGCGCAGGAGCCCTAAACTCTACCCCCTGAAGGGGGAAGGAAAATAAAAGTTGCAAAGAATTTATGAGCTGCATGGTCGAAAGCATTTACGAATCTGCATACAAAAAACCAAAGAGCGAACCGCAGACGACGCCAACGATTAAGCGCCCCAAATCAGCGGCAGACTCATAGCCAAAGCGAAAGCCAAAGCCAAAGCCAAACCCAAAGCCAAAGCCAAAGCCAAAAGCAACACAAATATCCGTAGCCGCAACCGTAAACGTAACCGAAACCGCGGCACCAACAGCGTCAGCAGCAGCAATAAAAATACCCCGGCAAAAAGTCAAATGACAAATGCTCGCACTTAAGAGTTTCGGTTAAAATGTCGCTGGCCGAAGCCGAAAAGCAAACATAAAGTGTTGAATGCTAGCGGAAATCACTTGAAACCGAGCATAAATCAAAGGAAACAATAATGGAACACGCCAGGACCACAAAAAAGCAAAAACAAAACGAACGAAAAAACATCAAGTGGAGAAAATGGAAAATGGAAAATGGCGATTGCAGCTTCCGCCGTGGCAAACAGCAACAAGAAACTGATAAAAACAAAAGAATTTAAATATAAAGAAGTGTCTTTAATCAAAAACGCATTGAAAAAGCCAAAGCCATAAGGAGTAACAAATGAATGGGAAATAGTGCAAATGCATGGCAAAAATTGAAGAAGTAGACGAAATGCCTGAGGGCCGAAGGATGCATAGGATGTCTGCCGGCCTGCTGGCAGTGCTGCCCAGCTGAGTGAGTGATTTATGGGCAGCTGTCAACGTCTGTGCCTTGAACTTGCGTCTGCTGGCTGCAAGTCTGGAGAGGCTTAATTGGTGCGGCTTCCAACAACCGTTATTCCATCTGTCATTACCCACTGCATCGGAATGCAGCGCAGGACATCATCGTCCCTGGCATACCCTGTCACAATCTGATGTAAGAAACTTAGCAGTCTGGGCTGATGGCAGCTTAAGCAAGTGAGAGTCGGGTTGAAGTCTGTGGAATTCCCTAGTGCTGAGAGTTCATATGACGTCACATAGATCTATCCACGTTTTGTTGCTGAGTCAGTCAAATTGTCCACACATCCATTGAGACAGGCAATAGAAGATAATTAGAAAACAGTTTATAATGCCCACTTAAAGCGCAGAGACAACATTTGCTTAACTAGACACTAATGGGGTATGGCTGAGCCTACCCGATTGCCATTTAAGGGATTATAATTTTTAGCATTGCCCGAAAAACTGAAAGCTGAAAACTTCAGGCGCAAACTTTGCAGACAGTTTTTGTGCCATTTTGGCTCGACATCGGTGGGAATTTTGATGGTTTTTAGTTTTCAGTTTTTATTTCATTTTACGGCATTTGAATTCAAATGTGCTTTTAAATCGGCTTAGTTAGACGAGTTGCCTTCATGTCCCTGACGGCTTAAATTAAATGCGCTCGCTCGAATCCCGACAAAAACGAAATAAATATCCAAAAAATCTAAAAAGCTTTTTACCCCGTCAAAGGTGCTTAAACAATTTGATAGTTTTCTGTTTTTCTTTTTCAGAATGTCAACTTGCTTTAGACGATAGCCTACGACCGGATGCAACATGAACTGCAAAAAATATCTCTAATCTAATCAGCGTCACTTTCACGCCCAGTACACCGTGCGTGAGTGCTCGGTGTTTGACGCATCTCGACTCAGAAATGATTGTTTGTCTTTGACAAATAGACGCAAACGTGATGTGTTACGGCTACAAATAGCCAGACCCGAACCCACTGCCCAGTGATAAGCGGTGGCAAGTGCTTCATTGCCTGCCGATCAACCGAATGCAGCTACCATGGCACGTGTCGAAATGCTTTCAAATATATTTAAAGAACTAAATATTATATCAACTATATGTTAGAATTTCTTTTTATTCTAATTACACTTCATAATGTTACACTTCGAATGTAATTGAAATCAGATATTAAAGTATCGATAATATTGGAGTTTTCCAGGTCCTTCCAATTCCACTCTCAGTACACTGTGTCAGTCTCCATGAAGCACAACAAATTCGTCACATATTATTTATCAGACAGGCTAAATTTAGTTATTTACTTTCAATCGAATTGCTCAATAATCGCAAAAATTGTTTGCCAAAAATAAACCGGCGCTCAATTAAGGCTGACAAAGAGCTCATCATCAATTATATGGCCACAATTGGAGGAACAACAAAATTTTAAATTGTCGAGCGAATGAATACAAAAAGTATGCGAATGGGCGACATAAATATCTCTTGCTTATAAATAAAAAAGCAGAAAGTTTAAATACTGACACAAGCTGACAGTGGCGTTGGCCACTTAATCAAAATTCAGACATGGGCAAACAATTCGCATTCAGCTCCGGCGCAGATAACAGCAATTAGCCCCATTGCCAAAGTGAGTGCCAGAAAAGCCCCACCTAAGAGCCTGCCGACAGTGGCGATTTATATGCTAGTCGAGATAACAACTGGCGAAATAGCCTGTACAAGTATTAAAAGCAACTCACTATTAATATAATAACTTAGTAATATCTATTAGCCAGAAGCGTTCGGCGTGTGTCCGCGAACTTGTCGTCAAATAGTTGTCCGTTGCGAAGGCCAAGCGACGCGCCGTCGAAGCGCCAACGAACCCGAAAAACAGCTCGAAAATTCCAAAATCAAATACATAAAATGGATATCCTTTCGACTCTATTGAGATTATCTGTCATTGGACTTGTGGCAGCGGCGAGCCTAAACGTCGGATTTAGTGAAAAACAGTTGCAATTTGGTTAGTTTTTCTTTTTCACAGTGCAATTTGTGTTTGTCGAGTATGAAAACTGCTTCATAGGCAAACACGTGACGAAATTACAATTTTATACAATTTATATTATTATAAAATGAACTAAAATATTTCATCCAATTATTTATTTAAATATATATACTTGGGAACCTCATAAAAATAATTTTATGATTTGCTATACTTGCAATAAAACTCACGAAAAATATAAATTAAAAATCAATTGATTACATAATCAAAATTTATGTTGACTTTTGGAGAAAATCAGATTTATTAAACCAACCCGAAAAAAGTGAATTCTATTAGATTGCAGCTTGTATTTGTTTCATAATCAACGTATATGTTATATAAAACTGAAAGAAAATAAAATATAAAAAATATATTTGTAATTAAGAAAATTGTAAATTTAAAAAAATATTTCTTAAACACTTTTAAATTAAATACAAAATAAATATCTCATAACTATATTCTTTCTGAAACCTGGCTGTTACAGTAAACTTCTATTAGTTTACTATTAAAAGATAAAACTGAACAACTTTGATTTGATTTTTAAATTTACAATTAAATTTATTTATACAATAAATTTATAAAACTATTGCGTGACTTATAGCATGTATTCCAAGCTCCTTATCAATAAGCCCACCTGGCAAAAAATAAAATCAGTGTTAAGCCCATGTAAGCCCAATATATTGTAAATCAATACGAAACTCACGTTGCTCCTCTTTTTGGACACTTTTCCTTAACACGCAATATATTCTATGAAAATTGAAGTACAAAAAAATATTTCAAAATTTTTAATGAAATTGAAATTTTTTAAATTTAAATTTAATGTTGTCTTAAAATTTGTATTTTTAAATTTTGTTAAATTTTATATTTGAAAATTTTTGAAATTTTTAATTTAAAATTTTTTTTTAAATTTAAATTTTAAAATTGAAATAGTTTAATTAGCAATTCTTAATTATAATTTATTTCTCCAACTTCACAGCTGGCAACGGGTCATACATATCCACTGATGCCAGCCCCATCTTCAACGTCTCTCTGAATCTGTCCGAGTCAACGACGAAAATCTGTCCATCACTGCTGAATGCAGATTCCTTGAGCCAAACGGAACTTATTAATCGACTCACAGACCTCTGTCGCTATGATCGCCTGGAGGCTCCCATAACGGTCAATGAGACAGGCGACGTCATGCCAATTGGTGTGAATGCTCGCTTCTATATCTATGCGCTCAAGGATCTGGATTCGAACGACTTGCAGTTCATGCTGCAAGGTTTGCTGCAGCTGCGCTACAACGACACGCGCTTGGCCTTTTCCGGCTATGCCCCAAATCGCGAGCCCATTGTGGGCGATGGTTCGTTGAGGAATATGCTGTGGGTGCCACACATCTTTTTGGCAAATGAGCAGAGCTCCAATGTGCTGGGCACAAGTGAGAAGGATCAGCTGACCACGATTTATCCCAATGGCACCGTGCTCATCTCGACGCGCATACAAGCCACGCTGTATTGCTGGATGAACTTCCAAAAGTTTCCGTTTGACGAACAGAAGTGCACCACAGTACTAGAGAGCTGGATGTACAACACTTCGATTATGCAGCTGCACTGGGAGCCCACAAATCCAGTGAGCTTTCACACCCAACTGCAGCTAACAGAGTATGATCTGGATGGCTGGGTGTGCAACGAGTCCATCAGCATCTCAGATGCCTATTCCATGTCACATGGCGCCCTGGAGGGCAACTACAGTTCGCTCAGCTTTACTGTGCAGCTTAGCCGCGAAGTGGGCTACTACATCATAGACTACTTTGTACCCTCCATGATGATAGTGGCCATCTCGTGGGTGTCCTTCTGGCTGCAGGCGGATCAGACTCCGGCGCGGTCCATGCTGGGCTGCTCGACACTTTTGTCGTTCATCACACTCTCGCTATCGCAGGAGAATAGCTTGTCGAAAGTCAGCTATGTGACCATGTCCGAGGTGTGGTTCCTAGTTTGCACCGTCTTCATCTTTGGCAGCCTCATGGAGTTCGCCTTCGTGAACACCATTTTCCGACGCAACAACAATCTGGAGGTCAAGAAACGCACCACCAAATACATTGTGCGCTCGACTTTTGTGCCCAAGATGAGGCGCAACCCGCGCAGCTTCAATCGCAGCAGCAGCACAATGAGCAGCTGCAGCAAGATCTCTGGTGGCAACCAGAAGAACACAGTCATCACCATCGAGACGCCCATCATCATAGGCAATGGCCTGAGCAGAGAGAACTCGACGATAAGCATGGAGGAGAATGACGCGAGCATATCGTCCAGTTCCACAGCGACGCTGACCGAGACGCCGAAAGAGAAGCCGCCGCAAACCTTTGCCACAATGACGCCCAAGGAGGTATCGCTGTGGATCGATCACAAGATGCGCTTTGTCTTTCCTCTCGCCTTCCTAATATTCAACGCATTCTTCTGGACGCTGGTCTACTGCCTGTGACCAGTGGGTACTGGCCTGGGGAATGCAATGCTCAAAGTTCAAATACGACCAATTAGGAGCAGACGAAACTGTGCTGTGATGATGCCACAACTGTGCTGCAATATAACAGTTTTGTCTATAGCCTTTAAGTAGTCTAGTTTATGTGTCATATAGTCATTTAGTATTCGTATTTATGGATTTTATATTAAACACTAATTTGTGTACTCGATCTGTGGCATCGACTCGTCGAACATTGTGGGCTGGGGCACCGTTAACAAGCTGCCAGACTTGCCAGCTTGCTGCACACTCAACACCTCGGACTTAAGCCCCACGCACGTACAGAGCTGATAAATTTGTGCTTATTAGCCAGGCGGAGTCAATAAAAATAATGCCACTCGAAACAGGCTGCGCGGCAACAAGTTGCACAGACGCACACTCACACAAGAGAAGGGGAGGGAGGCAGGGAGGTAAGGCATAGCTGCTCTATTTGTATCAATGAAAAAATCATAATGCCAGACAGCCCCCAAAACACTGGCGCACGGCACTTGGAGTGGCTTCGGTGGATGCCACAGCTCCACTGCTGACTGCTGACTGCTGACTGCTGACGCTGGCTGACTGCTGCTCATGGCTGCTTTTCAATTTTTAATTAATTGCCTATGATGAGTGTGTTGAAAAACAGTTGCCAGCTCCTCCCACTCCTCCGTTGGCCTGGGCTTGGGCTTGGGCTTGCTCTGGAAATTGTTTTAAACTAGCGACTCGACTCGACTACTTGATAAATTAACGGCACATGCAACACGTAAATTGTTTTTAAATTGCCTTATAAATGAACTTCAATTCAACTTGCCATAAACAATGAAAAAGTTGCGCATTTTATTGCGCACTAGCCGCAGCATGGCAAATTCTATTGAATACCCTGTACTCAGCGCGTGGGATGATACTATTTTGCGATCGGTTTGAGTCTGTCACAGTTTGGCTACAAATAAAATCTTCAATATAGTTATTAGCTTTCCTCGATCTCTTCTCAACTAAATTGACATTTATGACTTTAGTTATCTATCAGTCATAAATTCATATATTGCTATGGGCACGTGCGACTGTCGTGAGGTAGAGCGCATCTTCTGGTCGTGCACTATCGGAATATTCTATTTCTTGGTTTTTAGTGCTGCCTGATCCGAGGCTGTGAATTAATTTGAAGTGCTCATAACTCAATGCAGTCTCTTGGACGTCATCGTCATTGCTTTGGACCAGAAAGGAAAATTTGCTATGCAAAGCCAATATCTGGCCATCAATCTTGCAACGGTTGCAATGACTGCCAAACTGTAAGCGGCAGACAACTCGTTTGGCTGCCAGCTACTCCGTTGCACTGCATCTGACCGCGAGGTGTACATAATGAGATGTAATCTGTCAAAATGAAGTGTATCGCAGGCCCACAGCGACAGGCTCTTTTACCTCTCCTCTCCTCCACCTGGTAGGCTGACTGGCCGGCTGCTGGTTAGCTGGCTGACTGGCTGGCTGGTTGGCTGCCTGGTGGCTTGCTGCTTGCTTTTGATGGGTCCAAGTCCACTTTGTGTATTTCAGCACAGTTTTTTGCGTCTGCTGCACAAAACTTTTGCGGCTGGGCAAGTTTATTGAACCCCACAGCGAATGCCATGGCGAGGGCTGCTCGATACCATTGCCAGTTGAGCAGCACGTTTAGAGGCCAGGTAAATCACCCCTCATTCGTGCAGCGGATGTTCCCATGTCACCTAGTTAAGCCCTGCAATATGACATGATAGATACCTCCAACAACTGGCTACAGCTGTTTGCCATGTATTTATCAATCAGCACCCGTTAATTACAGCCCAAATATGAGCACTCAACAGCAAATTTTTTATTGATCGCTGCCTCGGCCAATAATGGGTCAACATGCTGCACTTAGAGCTCTTCAGCGTGTAATCCCCGCACAGCCAGCTCAGCTAAACAGAGTTCGTTTACACGCCGTCTATTTGCTTGGCTTAGCTTCCGATTCCCGCAGCTGTGAGAACCACTTGCTGGCCGCTGCTCTCTCCTTAGGAAATGGGCTGCATAATAAGCATGTGCTCAAGTTTGGTTTTGTTTTTCGCCTTCTTCTGCTGGCATTATTTTTTATTTTTCTTTTTTTGCCGGCCAGTCCGCACATGAGAATTACAGACATTTTCATTTATTATTATAGTTGGGTCAGCCCCTCCTGCGGACTGCTGTATAATTTGCAGTTAAGTGCTCAGCCCGTTCTCCCACATGTCCCCAGCTTTTGAAGCATGAAATAAAAACAAAAAAAATTGCCGACCAACAGCAAAAATGATTGTATAAATAAGAAATATAAGTAGAAATATATGTAAACAGATAAGAAGAGACAAAGAAAACTGAACTCTGAAAACTGAAAACTGAATGTTATGCGTTCTTAAATATCGCATAATTAAAAGTACAGGGTATATTGCGCTGTGAGGGCTGGTAGAAATGTTATTGGTTTTCAGCTTATGCTTTGCTCAGGGAATTATGTCTCATATTTGTAGGAGCCTATTGAAACTGGAATTAGAGCTAGAACAGTTTACATAGAGTTTTACGATAGATTAATCTGGAACAGTCTGTTGAGAGAGTGTTGCCGTAGTCGAGTGGAGTGTGTTGACAATGGCATGTTGAGTTTTATTTTTAGATGGTGGGAAAATTCTATTTCAAGTGGCGTTCAAGAGATTGCCTATCTAAACAAGCACAAGTAACCAGAACAAGCAACGCCACCACCGGCACCACCAGCACCACCAACTACAATGCTTATTGTTGTTAGTTTTTGGTTAGCCAATTTTGAGCGTGGCGCTGGGTTTGGTACCAGTCCAGTCACGCTCTGTGGGCGCTGGTTCAGAAGTCAAGTACAACAGTCGTCCATTTGGACGAGGCGTGCGAATGAGCTCAAGCCAACGACTAGCCCCGCATGCAATCAATAGCTCTCTTATGACTAATAGATGCCTTAAATAACTGCCCAAAAGGGATAATTTGGCCAAATCCATTTGCAAATTTAATGCTTCTCCAAACAGATTAAGTTGCCAAGCGATGCCGTATCGGGTATTGGTCGTCCGACGAAGCTGCTTGCCTAATGAGCCAGCGAGGAAGCGACGTCGTGCCAGCTGCTTCAATCCTCTTTGCTACTTCGCCTCCCTCTGATTAGTTTAGGTATTTACATGCTGCATGCCACAACCTTTTAACAAATTGCAAACAAAACTTGGCCGCACAGTAGCAGCCACAGCCGCATTCGAAGTGCTGGCTTAGGCCAAGTGGGCGTGCATACGATATTACGGTACTAATAAGGCGAGGCCTTTGGAGCTAATTTAATAGAATGTCGGACGTGGAACGCAATGCGTTAATGGCAAGCACCTTGCCAGACGCTGTACACGCTGTAGACACTGTAGACGTTCGGTACGCATGGTTTGCCTTGACCCATGATCATGATCATGATCATCATCATCTTGATGTTGATGTTGATGATGGCGCCTGTCGATTAGGTGCATGCAACAGCAACAGCAACAGCAACAGCGGCAGCAGCAGCAGGAAAATCAACAACTTGGTCTGTTTAGTGGCGCCTCATGTTGCCAGAGATACGAATCATTCACTTGGCTAAGCCGCCTAGAGCCAAAACGTTTTGCACGTTTTTCCAATGAAGCTGCAACTGGCACCGCGCACCACACCTCTTACTCATAATTAATGAAAACAACTTGTAAGTGCAACTAGTTGCGGTTGTTGCTGTGCCTGTGCCTGTGCCTGTTGCTGTGCCTGCGCCTACGGCTCTAAGGCCCATCTATTTGACTGGCCATTTAATTTGGCAAATGCCTCTAGAGGTAGCCATGTGACAGCAGCGCCAATCGCTGGGCCAGCAGTTATTAATTAGTATCTGCTTATCGGTGGGCCAGCTCGACTGCTACATTTGTCATAGATATATGGCGGGGGCGTGCCCCATTTGGCCACGACGCGACGTCAACGCTTTCCAACAACTGATCTTATCGGACAAGTCCAAAGGCGGCGTGACATTATCTAAACTTCCATTTGGTTAGAGTGGCTTATGCAGTGCTGCGCAATATCTCGTATGCTGTGCTCATCCGTTATTTATGACTCGAGGAAACTACTGTGTATGATATATATACATATATGTAATGATGAGTTTTCAGTTTCTTTCCTTTAGCAAAGTATTCAACTTGAACCACATTAACCTACTTATACGGTCTTATGAGCAGTGGTGCTTAACGTTGGGCAACCTTAAAGCAAATTTTCAAGCTGCTTAACTAAGCTGCGCTTTAATTAGACACGATATCGATACACTAAATGCAACAGCGCGAGGCCAGCGCCAAAAGACGGCGCCGCCAATGCCACCATTGACTCCACAGTTGCGGCTAACCCAGCCACAGACGCCGTGGCCAATGCCAGATGATAATCAAGTACAACATCAACCTGCCGTGGTTATCGCACCATTTGTGCGGCACGGCAACCGCACGGATACGCTTAAGCGCAAATCATTCACTGCCAACTTGATGAGAAGCGCAAAGGGAGGTGGCATCATAAATGCATCGACTATGCTCAATAGATGGCGCTTTTGCTTTAATAATCAACTTTAAATAATCAACAAGTTATGACAATTTATATTTTATGCAAAAGTAATATTATTTTAAGCAAATGCCAAGAGAATTCTTGAGATATGTTGCATAATGTAGCCAAAATTAAACGAGCTTAGTTGAAGTTATTTTGGGACTTGCACGTTTCACACTTAAAATTAAGTTACTTCCCTTGATTGTTGTGCTTCGCCTTTGTGAATGATTCTGGAACTGGTAGCCAGTCGTAGTTTATAAAGTAAGTGCAGCAGCACTTGAGAATATTTTTTGGGTCCGGCTGTCGTATTGGCAGCGGCCACAGAGCAAGCAAAACTTTTGCAGCATGCAACTTGGCGACTTGGCCATTACTTCCACTAAAGAAATTAAACATCAACAGCACAACACACAGACACAACAAAGTTAACTACTATGCGAGAGCAGGCAACATGAAAAAAATTAGTTAAAAGATAAACATGGCACGCCAGAAGCGCCCAGACAAAGCCAAAGAAGCTGAATGATGCTGTGGTAAGGAGTATCTATGTGTATGGCACGGGGGGCGGTAGGTTTCATCGTGTAGCTTTTAGCTTTGTCTTGATTATGTGGGTTGTAGTAGCAGCAGCTAAAGAAGCTGAAAATACGCTCCAAATTAA